AAAAAAAAAAAAAAACAAAAAAAAAAAGAAAGAAAATGAAATAACAGGCAATCTCTGTAACGTTCAACTAGTGCATAAACAAACGTTCGCAATATGGCTCTTCTAGCGCTAGTAATCTTTAACACAAGAGAAGAATCATTCGCACAAAACAGAGCATGTAACGTTTTGTATTTGTATTATTGTAACTTGTCAAAAATATATTGTTCAATTTGATCTGCCCTATTGTTGGTTTTCTTTGTGCAGTATTCGATGAAGACCAACTGACTATATTGTTAATATTTTGATAATTACTATTTATTTTATAAAAATTCATTTATAAATATAATTTTTTGACATTTAAGAAATTCAATATATCAAACATGTAATATTTAAATAGTAATAAGGAAAAAATTATTATAAATTCATAAATACACAAAGACAACGCACAGGATTTAAATTTATAACAGGTCATATATTATATTATATATAAGAAAAATGATCGCTAAAACCAACAATTGGGGCAGCGTTATATAAATATTCAACTGTATGTTTTTTTTTTTTTTTTAGTACACAGTATTAGCTAATTTATTTATTTGTTAATCTCCTATTACCCTATTTTGTAGCTAAATTTGTTGCTTTCACAATAATTTATGTTCTTAATAATTAATATTTTAATTGTGTTATTGTTATAAGTAAAATAGTATATATTGTAATTATTTATAATATTCAATATTATATCATTCAGGAATATCTTTCCTAGATTTTCATACAACTTGCCATAATCATAATGTGCCTCAGTTTATAAAAAAAAAAAGAGAAAAAATTAAAAATAAAAAAGCTTGTCATTCAATATGATTTTAATTGGGTTACTACATGTTTTTGCTTTAAAAAAATTCTTATTCGATTCCAAAACATGAGAGAATTAATCTTCATTAACTATCATTATATTTAATTACAACACATTAGAGGAAACATTATGATTATGAAAAATTAGCATTCTTTATAAGTACATTTTGCAATGGCGAACTAGCATCTTAATTGATTAATCTCCTACTATTTCTGTAAGATGGTAGTGTGTATATTTTTCTTTTTATATAAGCAAAAATAACAATAATAACACTCATGAAGAATATCATTAATAATTTAGAAAGGAATCGCATTTAAGAATAGCATTTTTAAGGTAAAATATATTCCAAAAATTCGAAGAGAAAATACTTTGTGGCTTTTTTTTTTATTATACCTGTTGTGATTATAGTACTTATAAAGAATGCACTTTAAAATTACAATTGAAAAATGCATTATTATAGTCCTAAATTGATTAAATTCTAAATAGTACTTCAAAAATTATATCATGATATATACGATCTCGAACGATTGAAAAAATTAAAATATTTATCTACTTATCATACGTGATGAAATATAATATATAATTGGTATTTGTAACAGTATCATCTTCATTTCATGTTGACATCTTCGTTAAATACTTCGTTCTTTTAACATTTCATTTCATTCCTCTCTTTATGATTTCTGTATAAATATTATCCTTTGATAAATCGTTTATATCATGATACGTAAAATTGTATTTTTCTTTTTTTTTTTTAGTAACATCTATTATATTTTATTATTAATAATTTGTAATAAAAACGGACCTAATAAAAACATTTATTTCTTTTTTGGCCTCACTTTTTGATACTAAACTATGAAGATAATTGAAGAAAAAAATAACAATCAGCTTCATTATTGAGTTGTTAAATAATTAAATAATTAAGTAAAGTTTATTATAATACCCTTCTTTTTCTTGTTTTAATTGAATTTACTTTTTTATTTTGTTTGTTTAAATAAGATTAATGGCTCATGTACAAAATCTTCAATAGCCCATAAAAAATGTATTTTTTTTTTTAAGTGTAATTTGTGCAGGGTATTATACATTTAAGATAATTTTAATTATATTGTAAATATTAAATAATAGTCTTTAAAATTGGTTGTTGTAACATTTTGTCTATGAGGAAAAAATTTGATAATGTTGTCCTATCTATACTATTCATTTATACTGTAGGCAATATTTTACCTGTTTTCTTTCTTTATCATAAACGTATAGTTCTTTCATAATAATTACCAGCTACATATTCAAAATGAAAATATTCCATAGAGCCGGTATATAAAACGCAATAACCATGCGTTTCATTGAAAAAAGCTAATTGGCATGCTTATTTATTTGCATGTCATTTATATTGAGCTGTAATACGTATGTCGCACATTCATCGCTGGTATCATAAATATAAGTTACTCCTTTTTCTTTTGATTAAATTGAAAAATCCTAAATATTCATATTTCTTACAGCTAAAAATGTAAAAACTTACAACACAAAAATTGAGTTTAATTAATTTAGTAATGTACTTCTGTTGCAAAATTACATTTCTTCATTGCTATCACACACTATTTAATTTCAATAGTAAGTATATACTGTATTAATATACATATACATATATATTTATATATTTATATTAAGCATACTTAAAGTTTAAAATATAACATATTACCATGTATAGAAAAGCATGGTGAAACATATACAAATAACTATCTACTAATTAATTATATCAGCTATCCAGAGAAGAAAAGAGAAGAAATAAAAGAAAAGAAAGCTTATTTATATAAAAAATTTTAATTACCGATTATCACTGTTTTTCGATGTATCCAAAGTATAAAAACATTTTTTTTATGAATTATAATTTGAGTATGTTTTATAGAAATTATAAAAGATGAAATAGGGGGGGAAAAATATATATATATATATTTAAGAAAAACAAAGAAAATAATGATAAGAACATTGTAAGAAATAATACATGTAGCTTTTCTTTTACAATGAAACTGTTAAATGTATTATTCCCTTACATATTTCTTTTACGAATTTTAATTCGTCTTTCGTTATAAATATGAGCAATTTTATTATTTTGTATAAAAATCTAGAAATCATATATATTCCTTATATAATAGATATCATCAATACTACCTTTTCAACCAAAAATATAAAATTTGTTAATACTTGTATGTATTATTACCATCAGTACGTGTCAATTGAAAAATCCTATTTAAATATATATCTTTAAATACAATAGAAATATCATTCATCTCTTGTGACATACGTTTACAGCTCAATTGAGGGAAATTATTCTATAACTATATATTGTGGGACATTAATCTTTTGTTGCGTTTAATTATGGTATTACAATTTTTTTAAACAAATATATACTTTAGAGGTCCCAAAACTTTGTCCATAATTTATGATTATATCGTTTTTTTCTTTTCCTTCACGCTACAATGTTGTGTAACTGGCACACATATGTGTTGTCATTAAATGCTAACTATTCAGCTAGCACCCTGCTAATAAATGTATTTTGTATTATATATTAAATAGCTCTTCATTCCAATTAATATGTGTTCTTAATATAAAGGATGTGATCTGAATCTTTATGAATAGTACAACTATTGACATAAAGACGTATGACAAATAGGAGTCTCATCACATCCATATTCACTTTGGCGATAATCAAATTATATATTTGAATAAATTTGTTCGTTCTTCTTCTTCTTCTTCTTCTTTTTCTTCTTCTTCTCTCTATTGCGATCGTACGCGTACAAATTCTTTTAATTGTTCATTTTATATACCATATCGTTTGAAGTACCGAAAATTTACGTTGGAGATCCTAGTGCTACTCACAGAATTATGAGGATATCTGTCCTGGTTACTGAGAAAGAGCGTAGATTATAACAGATGTTCTAACAAAATTTTCGGACCTAACTTGTAGAGACAACCGGAGTCTGGCAGTACGGGCACTCACGTTGATTTGGAGCGCACGTCGAGCAGACAACGTAGTGGTTACAAGGTGAGAGGGTAACAGCGCGATTTTGTTCTTCGCAAACCATGCACTTTGTTGCCGTTTCTCTGTACAGCACCTGGAACGGCAACAACTGAGCTACCTATAGTGTTTCCATTAATCAAACCGACCGCAAATAGATTAGATTTTACAATTTTATGAGAAAAAAATCGACTGCCAATTAGAACGTTTAACTGATAATAGAAGAGAATTCTGTTTGATGAGAAGATGAGGTAGCTGTAGAATTTTAATTCTCTCGCATCCTCTTCAGATAAGTGAATCATTATTCGAGAAACGCTTGATATACCAGCTGTTCAAACCAGCATGACAACTTTGCTTTACCTTTTCTACTTCTTCGAGATCCGAACGGAGCTGTGATTGAATTGATTTTAATGCGGCTATAGATAATGATCTGAGCTCACTTATTCTTCTCAATGTATGAAGATATGGCCCACCACTGGACGCTTCATTTTCTACCCTTAATGCTTTCACTTGCAACAAGGCCTGTTAACAATTTTTATAAATACGTGCTACGGAAAGAACGAAATAATAAAATATTTACCTCGTCTCTCTGTTGTTCAGCGATACTTGCTTTTCTTTTAGCTTCCTCACTTTCCAATTGCCAAGCGGCGCAAGCAGCTCTAGCTTGATTAATACGTTCATCCCAAGTTGCTAGCTGGGCACGACTTGACGTCAATTCCTCTCTGAGCCTTTGTACCTAAGACAAATTAGTAGAGATGTAGTCTTACTCAAGCTTATTTTAATTCATTCAACAACACTGGAGTAAAAACTGGGAGAATTCTAACCTCAGACAAAGATCCTGTATTACTTGGACTAATAGAAAATGCATTAACCAATGGAGATGCTGGGAGAGGTTGAGTACGAGATGGAGACATTCCTTGATTCGTAAAATCAAATAAGCTACTATTAAATCCGCTAAGCTTAGAAGCTGAACTGCTAAGTTGTGAAATATGATTGCTAAATGGATCTGATACTTGATTCATAAATGGCATAGTCTGAAATCAATACCGAACAAAATAAAATATTAAAATAATGCTAAGATAATCCTTCTTTGCGAAAGAGTTGAGAAAAAGAGAGTAGAATATTTGTCTTTACCGATTCTATTGAATCCTGATGAGAAAATCTGGATCCAGTGAGAAAACTAGTCGAATGTAGAAGTGGACTGGACGTTGATGGTGAAAAATTTGTAAGAACTGAACGTTCGTTCATCCCAGGAATATTAACTGGTGCTGAGCTTCCTAATAGACCAGAACTTGCTAGGCCTGCTGATATTGAATTGCTAATTGGTGAATTAGTATCTCTATGAATTGATTCTACTAAATTTAAAGGGTCATCTAGATGTAATTCATCTAATGCATTTCCTGAAAAAAAAAAAGAAAGAAATAAACATTTAGATCAAAATAGATCAAAATATTGTTTCTCTATTCTTCCTTAACTCTGTCTTACCTACTACAGATTCCACAGTGTCATTTGGATAAAATGAACTTGAAAGCGGTGAGACAGTAGTTGCTAATGAGTGATTCCCTAAGCTTCCATTCAAACTATATGCAATGTATAGGCTCTGTTTCTGTTGAGCTTTCTCTGCTTTTGTTAATAAAGGATCACTATCTATAGCAACCACTTGTTTTCGTATTTCACCCTGTTTAATATTTTTAGAATTATTATGCTGGATCTTTATCGACAATGTACATTCAAATGCACAATCGAACTTACAACTTGCAAAAGAGAACTGGGATTATAAAGTATGCTTGTTAACTTTTGCTGATTAGATGTGTTTACAGTGGTATTGGAATTGGAGTTATGAAGTTGAGCACCAGGGGCTTTACTATGCGAACTATTACTGCCGACGCTGCTAGTACTTGCTGACTCTGACACTTCACCGCTTCCATTCTGTAATTTAAATATTTGATAGTGTCATTTAATTGTGTCTCATCTGAAGGAAGTTCATTACTTTTGTATGATGTATAACAGACTTACACTACTATCACTAAGTGGTTTATCCTTTTCGTGACTACGCTTATCGGGTGGAAGCGCATTGCTTAGAATATCTGCCAAATTGGTGCCACAATCTATAGGTACGGCCATGTCCCTCGCCAGGCTCATTTCTTCTGTTGGCAACACTGCTCCATCAGCACACCATACCAACGTCCCAATATATCAATTTTGAGAAGCAATTTTGAATACTAAGTTTAATCATTTACAAAAGGCCTATATTTACCAAATAAAGGGGGAGAGAGAGAGAGAGGAGGAAAGAGAGAGAATTTTCAGAAATGCAAGTGAAATGTTAAATTATTTTTACATAGAAGCAATTGCAAGCGTTTTTACAAGTTAATAAACTTTGCATTACTTGAATTTATCTCACATTATGTTATGTCTCAAGCGATTAAGTATTGTGAACAAAGCCAATAGTAAAATGTTTTCTAATATATATATATATATAAAATAAAAAAAAAGGGGGAAAAAGGGAAAAAAGAAAAGAAAGAAGAAAGAAGTTTCACTAAACTTTCTAAAGTAGTAGTAACTGTTTTACGTACGGTTTATGAGGGTACACTCACGGTCAACATGTGCAAAAGCACAGAAGACTCCGCGCGGACAATATCCAGCTTGCTGAACATCATTACATTTCGTGGATTTGTATATCTCGGGATGGAACTGTTGTTCTGTACGTGTGTGACAATACGTACAAGCATCTCCTTGTTCACAATTGCCTGGTTCACCCCATTCTTCTCCATGTTTTACATTAGGGCATGGTGTTGATCTAAAGTAAATAAAGTTCCAAATTAGATAATGTTGTTACACCCTAAGTTTGCTTTTCAAATTTTCTTTGGGGACCGAGAGAGGAACCCCATGACCCACCTGTACTTGTACTTCCGAGGACTACGTCTTTTATCTTTACTATTGTGATACTGTGGACAAGCATAGCCCTGACGGCAAAGCCTTGGTGGTCGTTTGCAGGGCTCTGTCTTGTAATTACTCAGCACGTAGTTCGTGTCCTGCCATTTTGGATCTTCGTTCATCAAGTTTCTCTCTTTGTCAAGTATGTTTGGTCCATTAGAGGATGAATTAGGATCAGAATCGGGATTCTCCAACGCCTGTATTTCTTTAATGTCGTAAACCGGTGGACGAAGATCATGATTGCCATGTGCGAAGGCACAATGAGGGCCGTTCTTGACACAGAACCCACGTGTGTCCGTATCATGGACACACATGCAGGTTTTATAATAACGTAGGTGATAACGTCTCTCTGTGTCGCCAGCAGTGCGGTGAAGGAACGGACATCTGTTTAACAATAAAGTTCATGTAAATTAAAGAACAACTCCATTGCGTACAAAGATGATCAAAAATTACGCGAAAGCAATTATAAATTAATAGATTCCGTTAAATTAAATGTTAATTAAATAATTAAGATGTAGGTATTTTTCGCTCTAAATAGACTAATTAAACAGATTTAATCTCGAAATAATAGTCAAATATTATTGTATAATTATGAACTATAAAAAATACATATATAACAAATTACGTAATGATGACATTAAAATCCAGTCTAACAAATCTTTAACACTGTAAGAAACCGATTTTTCTAAAGACTACAATCGCGTCTTAACATGAGATATTGATCTTCCAAAATTTAACTTGGATTAAAGGGGAATGTAT